ACAACCATTAAAGAAATAACAGCAGTTAAGTCAAATTATTTCACATGTGAAATTTCATTCACATTCACAATTTGCATAGACTGCCCTTAAAAACATCAAGTGTAACAAGCAGTTTTCTAACACAAATTATTCCAAAATTACCAAAGTGTTTATCATATTGGCAATAACAAAAGAGGAGGAATGAACTCACCATAGGACTGTGTTTTTTCTCTCATCCTGGCTGGCAGGATATTTGCTTCCATAGGATGCCCAGGCAACTGGTCTGAATCAGCAATAGTGAACCTTCGCCTTCGGCTCTCCTGATCCAGAAAAGAATTAGGAGACTCTGCGCCCTTGGACCCAGGCAATGGCTGACTGGGTTTGTTTCCTCCTCCATATACAAAACTCCCCTTTTCATCTCTGAAAGAACATTTCACTTTAGTTAGTAGCTGAAAAGAGTTTCATGTTACAGACATGAGTAGATTTGAAAGGTACTTCTAGCCTCCAGTCATGCTCCTGACCACAGGCATTGTGCTGCCAAAAAGTTGAAAAAAACTCCAGTCAGATGATGGAAGAACTTCATTATAAACATATTTACCAAGGAGAAAAGCAAGCTATGCTCCTCATTCTAATCAACTTATAATGAGCCAGTAATTTAACACAGAGAGAAGTTTACCACCCCTGAAAAAACTTTTGAGAAAGAGACCTTTCTGCCCTGGGGGTATCAAACCTCCCAATTCTCTGCCTGTACACTACAGAGCTGTGACATGGGAGTGCATACATAGATTTAACCCATCTCTGTGTAACGGTAACACCTATTGCCTCCATTTGAGGCATTATGCTTTTCAGTCATTCTAAGAGTCCAATAATTACCACTGGATTCTCATCACCTTCTCTCTCCAACCAAAAGTGAGTTTCACTGATAAATTTACAGTGTATATTCATATGATTTTGAGCAATTTCTGCAGGAACTAGTTTCCCAGAGCAATCCTTCATTCCAAAGGCCAGGGACTGCAATTTTTAGAATCAGTCCTTGTAAGTACTTTTGGAAGGAAAGCTACCCTCCAAAGTTAAGATTTGCCTGGGGTTTTTTTTCCACTTCCCTGTATGTGGTGCAATCTTACTGCTTGAAGCAACCATCAGCCAAGTCAGGCATAAAAATACACAGCTGACTGCCCAAGAAAATACATATCCCAGTATTCACAACAGACCCCTGATCATAGCATACCACTTTTTCCAGCTCTCCATCAGGAATAATGCTAGAGCTCAGTAAATGGGAGGGAGCTACTTATGGAGATGCAGGGACCAAAAATTGCACAAAAGTGTTACACCACAACCATATGTAGGCACAGAGCTCTCCTACAACACCACCATGTGGAGACTGTGCTGCAGGGAGGGGAAACCAGCCACTGCTCTCTGCCTTCCCAGCATGAACCAGAAAAGGTCCATGCCAGGAAGGGAAGAGAACAGAATGATGAGGGAAGAAAAAAGAAATGACCACACAAATGCACCGCAGTTTCAAGAGAAGACCAAAACATGCAGAGGTGAAATAAATTGCCAAACAGAAGGTGAGAGAACTGCACTTTCTCCTCTTTCTGCTTGCCACAGCGTCCCATGTTTGCTTTCTTTACAAGTCAAAGTCAAGAAGCCTTCCCCTTTCCACACATCATCCAGGACAAGTTTTACAGCTCACACTGCTATTTCCTTCCTTGTCAACAGGGACTCAGGTTTAAAGGCAACTGAAGCTGATATAGTTTTGTGACTCTTTAGGAAAGAGATACAGAAACTGAGCATACACACATAATTCACCAATTTGCTTGAGATGTAGGAAAACAAAGACAAGACCAAGGCATTTTGCTCTCAGCTGTTAAAATCTACATACTTGGTTTTATACTAAGAAATGTGATTATTTTTATTATTTAAGAATGGAGCATACATAAACATGAAAAACAGGGAGACAGCAGGTCAAGGTGAATCCAGCTTCAGTAAAGAGACCCTCAACACTGAAGAAACCCTCTCTCTTTCCCCAGTACAGCCCTGAACGCTGCCACACTACAACCTCTGTCTCCGTGTCAGGTCTTCCATGACAGGAGGCAAGCTCTTCTCCCTTGAGTTCTGCAGCAAAAGGTTACAGTTTCTGTGCTGGGTTATACGTAACTTTAAGTTTGGGGCAGGTCAGGAAGCATACTGTGCCTGAAAACCCTTTTGTCCATCACCTTTTCAAGTCAGCTGGCAGGGTTCTGGCATGAGGACACAGACTTGAGAACAAACAAAAGCTAGCCGTACCATACTGCCCCCTAACACCTCTTTTGTGTACACAGATCTGCATTTTTATAACATACACTGCAAGAAAAAAAAGTTCAATGAATCGACTCTCCCTTCCTTTCATGGCAACATTCCTGTTTTATACAATTTGCAAGTTTAACCACTTAAAACAAGTTCTTTTCTATCCTAACTCACACAACACTTACTTATTTTCCATGACAGGAGGCAAGCTCTTCTCCCTTGAGTTCTGCAGCAAAAGGTTACAGTTTCTGTGCTGGGTTATACGTAACTTTAAGTTTGGGGCAGGTCAGGAAGCATACTGTGCCTGAAAACCCTTTTGTCCATCACCTTTTCAAGTCAGCTGGCAGGGTTCTGGCATGAGGACACAGACTTGAGAACAAACAAAAGCTAGCCGTACCATACTGCCCCCTAACACCTCTTTTGTGTACACAGATCTGCATTTTTATAACATACACTGCAAGAAAAAAAAGTTCAATGAATCGACTCTCCCTTCCTTTCATGGCAACATTCCTGTTTTATACAATTTGCAAGTTTAACCACTTAAAACAAGTTCTTTTCTATCCTAACTCACACAAACACTTACTTATTAAAAAAAAAAAAAAAAAGAAAACATTGCAGACATAAATTAATTTTTGCTGTGAACAATTAGATTTTAAAAAATTAAGCACATTACCACAAACAAAACCAGGGATGACATCCATTCATATTTTGAAAGCAACACTGTATGGTACACAATAGCTTTCTAATAATAAAATCTATTATGATCCAGGTAGTTTCTGCATTTAAGCACTTAGTCAACTAGAAGAAAGTCTGTGAAACCTGCAGTTTCTTGAAGCTAATTTGTACAGAGCTCTAATAGCAAGACAGCTCAGAAACAAGTGTAACAGAGAAATTTTTGCTCAATAGTGCATGTTTATTTGCATACCGAGGAGAATAGGGAACAGCTGGTGGAGGTGGTATGTACAGATCCAAAATGGCTGGCTTCTCTTTTTTCAATGAGGTATCCATGGTGCTTTCTGGTGACTGGGCTGAAGTTGACAGAGGACTGGTCTGAAAAGTTAAGACAGCTATCAAACATCTGAGCATTGATTCATCATTCACAAAAATACAATTAAGTAACCAATAGTAGCATTTCATCCCCTAGTGAACTACTTCTGTGCTTAATAAACATGTTAAAAACTCTTAGCATTTACATTTTCTTCCACTCCTGGTTTTGGCTAGCTTTGTGGTCCCTCCTACAGAAATCCAATCACAGGAAATGCATTGCTCAATACTGCTTTGCTCTTTCTAGTTCTATTTTTTCCTGCAAATTCCACAGACAGAAAAAACAGCAGCAACAAAAGACAAACCCCCTTCTTCTATTTTTAGATCCACCAAAAGAATTAAATTTGTTAAATACAGATATGACCAGCAGCACTTAAAAAGCCAGGTCACACTACTCTTATTCTATACAATTCAATGCCCGAGACATGGGCAGAAATACAGTAAAGTTCACCACAAATTGTATTAAGTGATATAACTAAGGTAAGGGAAGTAAAATTAAATTATGTGTAGTATTGCTCATCTGAGCAAGTTTGCCATTTTACTCTATGTGGCTCAATTCTATGTCCCCAAGATCTTGCCAGTCTCCTGTTTGCCTCTAGGAAAGCAAAGGCTTGAAGGACCCTTTCACCTTTGTCAGGCAAGTGAACTGCACCCTCCCCTTTTTGCCAAGGGCCTGCTGAGGCTTTCACTCTGGCCACTCTGTTAACAGCACTGCTACACACGCATCTGGATGTCTTGCTTGACCAGCCTGATGTCTTCTATGACTGTGACCTACCTTTTGGATGAGGGGAAGGCTGTGGGCATTATCTACCTGGACTTTGGTAAGGCCTTTGACACTGTCTCCCACAGCATTCTCCTGGAGAAGGTGACAGATCATGGCATAGACAAGTGTACTCTTCACTGGGTAAAAAAACTGGCTGGATGGCCTGGCCCAGAGAGTTGTGGTAAATGGAGCAAAATCTAGCTGGTGACCCGTAGTGTCTCTCAGAGTTCAGTTTTGGGGCCAGTCTTGTTCAATATCTTTATCAATTATCTGGATGAAGTGATTGTGTGCACCCTCAGGAAGTTTGCAGATGACACCAAACTGGGTGGAAGTGTTGATCTGCTTGAGGGCAGGAAAGCTCTGCAGAGGGACCTGGACAGGCTGAATCGATGGGCTGAGGCCAATTGCATGAGGTTCAGTAAGTGCCAGGTCCTGCATTTTGGTCACAACAACCCCAGGCAACACTACAGGCTTGGGGAAGAGTGTCTGGCAAGCAGCCTGGCAGAAAAGGACTTGGGGGTGCTTGCGGACAGCCAGATGAACATGAGCCAGCAGTGTGCCAAGATGGCCAACAGCATCCTGGCCTGCATCAGGAATAGAGTTGCCAGCAGGAGTAGAAAAATTATCATGCCCCTGTACTTGGCACTGGTGAGGCTGCACCTCGAGTACTGTGTGCAGTTCTGGGCCCCTCACTGTAAGAAGGACTTTGAGGTGCTGGAGTATGTCCAGAGGAGAGCAACCAAGCTGCTGAAGGGTACAGAGAACAAGTGTTACAAGAAGTGGCTGAGGGAACTGGGGTTGTTTTCTTTGGACAAAAGGAGGCTGAGGGGAGACCTCATTGTTTTCTACAATTACTTGAAAGGAGGTTGCAGGGAGGTGGGTGTTGGCCTCTTCTCCCAAGTAAATAATGACAGGACCAGAGGAAAGGGCCTGAAGTTTTGGCAAGGGAGGTTTAGATTGGACATTAGGAAGAATTTCTGGAACAGCCTGCCCAGGGAGATGATGGAGTCACCATCCTTGGAAATATTCAAGAAACATGGAGATGTGGCACTTCAGGGCATGCTCTAGTGGCTGAGGTTGTAGGGTTTGGTGGGGGTTTTTTTCAGTCGTTTTTTTCTGGTGGCATATGTGGTTGTGTTTATTTGGGTTGCTTTTTTTATATTGATGTATTAAATGGCACGCATGAGGCCACAACACCAAGACACAGACATTAGTGAAAGGAAGGATCAGAAAGGAGCCAAGAATGCATCCTCTACTCAGCCTGAGAAAAATCTGGCTGCCTTGAGACTTGCACTAGCCACTGGCATTTGCCAAGTTCATAAACTCTCCTGACTGCTGTAGAGAGACTTGTATCAGAACAGGAGTAGGGATGGGAACTCCGCCTGGTTTGTTGTCTTTCTGGTAATCAGTTTAGATTCAATTATGGCTTAATGCTTACATAAGGAAATAACCTAAGCTTCCCAATACAACAAGTCATTCCTCAATAGGGCTATTTAAGTTATTAACCTCACTTTGTTTGCTCAATACTCAATCTGTGAATTGCCCAAGCAAGCTGTTTACACAACTTCTTGAACACCGCTCTCTCTTTCCCACCCTTCAGCAGACTTAAGAGGATAAATATATGGAATAATCTAAGTTATTTCAGCAGAACATTATTACTCTGCTTGTTAGACCAAGCATTTATTACTCCATGCTGATGACTTATGTACATATCAGAGGTTTCAGCAGTTTTGCTTCAGGTAAGATCTCCCAGTGGCACACTGATTAAAATGCTCAACACATCTAGTCCCTTTGTCTATCAAGGGGACATGATCTGTTTTGTTTCATTTTTTTAAAAAAAGGCAGAAACGTTTTCTGTTTTATCTTGGAACCAGCAGAGGACAGCCATTTCACTTAACCTTCCTTGACCTGTACTTGGGAACATTTGAGTACCTGGGAACATTTCTGGTATCTCTAATTTTCAATCTGTAACCAAGGCATTCCCATCCCAACGTTACAGCTGAGCCCGCAGCCTCTGACCTGCACCAAGGGTGGTTTCCAGCGCAGGTTCTTTAGTGGAGCAGGAGTGAAATGGAAAGAGCCAGTAGGACGTTTCTTAAGCAGCAGCCTAACTCCAGCAGGGTTCTCACGCAACTTTGCAACCAGATTTTTTAGTTGCCATCCAACCTGGAAGAGAATAAAGATACCTTTTGTTAGTATTGCTTTTCTGGTAACAAACAAGCAAGGAAAAAACAAATTCCCTAAGTCAACCTGTTTTAACACAAACCTAAAGAGAGAAAAGAAATTAAATTAAAAAAACATAATGGAGAAAAAAGTTGGAAAGCTTTTTTTTTCTTTTGGAAGGATCTTTTTTTGTTTGTATCAAAGAAAGATCTCTACTTAAGCTGTAAATTAAACAATGATATATCAAGAAATGCTCTTTATATTTCAGCTCAGTTCCTAGAAGAATGCACAAATGTGCTCAAATAGAAAAAACAACAGTAGTAGTTCACTAGGAGTCTCTTTGTTACTCTTTCTCACGCTGAGAGGCATTACTTACCTGTACTAAGGAAAAACATTTTTTTTTAATCTGTTTCCACATGCAAATGACTTAAGAATTATTTTTTGAAGTTGCTTTTATCTGCATTCCAGTAGATTGTACTGCTGCATTTTAACATAGGTCTTAAATACAACATGAAATTTTTTTATATTATGCACACAGTATTTAAACACAAAATTCAGCATGTTTATTTTATCAAAATATTGAAAATAATTAACATCCAAGAAGAAATTGTTTTGAAAGTAAAACATTAAAAAGCCTCCAAGAATTTTGCAAGAAATCACCAGAACCATCTCCTGACCCCATCTATTCAGAACTCTTTGGGTGTGAGCTTTGCAGAGCAAGCATAAGGGAAGATTGGTACGGTCATTTATTACTAACCACAGTTTGGCGATTAACCTGGATCACTTCATCACCAGCATGGATCTTCTGAGATCGATCAGCAGGAGACTACAAAGAGGAAAAAAAAAAAAAGAAGTGATTCAGCAGGTTTTCTTTCCTCTGATAACAACCCCCACCAAGCTAAGTCAAAGGTTGTACCCATAATGAAAAGCATTGCTGAAAATTTTTGCACCACCAGATCACACATTACATCCATTGATAACTTGAGAAATGCAAACAAATTCAGCTTGTTTTATTTTTTATACTGAAAGAACTAGAGGGAAAGGAAGAAGGCACAGCCTACATCCATCACAAGCCAAACTGTACTTAAACCATAAGACAGTCTCTGCTGTCCTGCCTCCAGTTTGTACTGTAGTTCCAAACAGCAGTGGGAGAGGACTGAAGAGAAGATTTCTGCCCTAACAAAGCATCTATTTTAAACCTAGCTTGCAAATAAATGCATACTCATTTAAAAAAAAAAAAAAAAACCACACTAAGATTTTGAATGTACAGAATTAAGGACCAAAAACCCTTCAATCCATAGAACAGATTCATTTCACATTCCCTTTTTATTTCCTAATGTAAATAAGAGCTACCAACTTTGATGTGAAATTATCTGTCTGAATCATCAAGCTCAACAGGTAAAATACATGCTTGCACAAATCAAGTGTGCTTAGATCGGTATTTGACAAATAATATACCTTAAAGTGTAATCTTCTTGGAACTAAACCCAAGCTCTGGCAAGCCATTAGCCAGGAACAGCTATGTGTCAATATTGATTTAGATGTATCTGTGGCTGGTGCCCTGTAGCAACTATCTCTGCAGTTTCTAATAACAGTCTGAGCAGTCCTGACAACATCCAAAGAGCACAGGCTACCTTGGTACAGTGTACCTCAGTCCCAGGACAAATTGTCCTCCCATTCCCCAACCCCATGAGAAAACACCTGGTAGCAGGCCAGCTCTATTTGGTGATTCCGGACCTAAGCATCTAGAGTAAGGACTCCCTTCTCCTTGTCATCACACCTTCAGAGTTCAAGTAACTTTTTTATTAAAAGGAACTGCAGGAATAAATAGTGCAACATAGGGGAATTTATGGAAGGCTCCAGCTATCATGAGTAACCCCATTTCTTCATTGTCTTCTTGCTTCCTCTGAGAGGAAATGTCTCTGTGGAAGGCTGCACACATATATAAGTCATGAGAAAAAGACTGGGCCAAAGTCAAGTTTGTGAAAAACAAAGCTCATTTCAAGTTATCCTTTGGGCAACCAACAACCTGCCTGGAGGAGGGTGGGGGGCCCTTGCACAGAGGAGTCCTGCAAGTGCCAGCCAGCACAGCATCGTGAGAATGGAGGAAAGAGCAAAGCTTGGTGCTAGGCCAACGTGACATGGGATGTTGCAAGTAGGATGGCACAACTCAGGAATCCTCTTGGCTCACTAGTATCAAATGCATAGATTTCCACCGTCCTTCCAAATAATATTACTGTTAATTTTGGGGTGCAATTCCACTGAATTCCAACATACTGCCTTCTGAGGATAGCTACTAAGATACCATTCCAAACCTAGCAAGAAAATTGAACTAAGAACCAGTCTGGGTTATCTATATGATCCTACACCACCAGAAAGATGGATGTTTGCAGATCTCTCAGTCACTTGTCAAGTGGTGTTGCTCCAATGGAAGGAGCAACTTCCTTCTCCAAAGGAAGAACCAGTGTTCATAAAAAAGCAGTTGTGTATGTCAACACTCAAAGCTACAGAAGCAAAATAGCCCCACTCCATGCCTCCAAAATGAGATCTATATGCACAGGGAGCTTGGCAACAGTCATCATCACACCCTCTCACATTTCTTGGATGCTGAAATTGCTGATAAAGTAAACTTGGTCTCTGTCACAGATCCTGTACAGTTATGCCAGGGCAATAGTATAGAACCATAAAAGCTTTCAGTTTTCACACTGAACTGCAAGCATATTTCCCCCCACTCCTTGCTGTCCCCTGGACTTGGCAGGGCCACAACTAGAACCACTGGATCTTTCCTATTCACACACACAAAACAACAACAACAACTACAAAAAGGAAAATAAGTGGATAACTTGGCTTTTGCAGTGATTTTTTTTTTTTTTCTCTAGCATGGCATGTCTGACAACAACAGACGATCACCTAAAAGCCTCAGCTGCTGCTGCTGGCCAGACGTCAACTGTGCTGACTGCCCATGAGCTTTTATTAAAGTCTCAGCTACAGAGGACTCACAATGTAAGAATAAAACAAGCAACCATTTGCAGCAAAAAATACAGTTGCCTATTGTGCCAACCATTTCCTTCCAACAGACTGCTCTTAAAGTCTTACCTTTTTCCTAGCCTTTTTATTCTGCAAGGTAATTTTGTCACTGGAGGGCTCATTAATTTCATTGCTCATTACTGAATTTATCACACTGCCACCTAAACACTGCCATTAGGCCTTATTGCTTTTGCCAATGGAGACCAAATACATTCAAGACTTTGTTAAGCAAGATACCATAACCACTCAGAACAGCAGATACTGTAACTTATTAAAGCAATTATTGCAATGCCAGGCATTTGAACTAACTCATGTACTTGCAGAAACTGGCTTAATTAGACTGACAGTGAAACACATAGAGACAATACATTTACAAATTGTGAATACACAAATTATTCATCACAGAGCATTTAAAAGACTAATATCATGAAAGTCATATGTAAAACAGGGAAAAGTAGTAAAAAAGTCTAGCGCAATCAAAGTTACTGTCAGATAGCCTGAGTTAATCTACATTTGCTTCACTTACGTTCTCTGTAGTTCCAGTAATTACATGTAATCCATCATAAGTTGATTTGATGTACATTCCCTAAATATAAATGAAAAAGGAAAAGTTTAAAGGTAAAAAACCCCATGTAATTATCTGATCAAAGAACTGTTGGCAACAGACTTAAAACATTAACACTTGGCAATTCACACATTTTCCCCAGAAAAGTGTGGTCTACTATTACAACATTATAAACCTCTTCACAGACCATTTTTACTGTAATTAATTATAATATTTATAATTACTTAAACTAATATTTGAAATGCAATTTAGAAACACTGACTGGTTGGTAATACCAAACACCACTGGTTTTACTGCCTTGTTGTTCTTTGGCCTTGAGCAAAACTTTCCTTACTGCCCAGTCTGCACTAGAGAATTACAGGTCTAACTAAATGGCCACCAGCTCTCTCCATACCAAGCACACTTACACAAGTTGGCTACAGATACTGATTATATCTCTTGGCAAGTCACTACATAGACTGTCTTGTCACCACAGCACTGACACAAGCAATAAAAGATCTGGTAGATGTATTTGTGGCTGTCTATGTTAATGCTGACCGTGAATGCAAGGGCAAACTCAGATTAAGTGGGTGGTGACCATATGAACACCAAATTAAAACTAATCAACAGGCTATTAACTAAAAATGACATAGATTTCTCAATAAGAGGTGACCAGCACAGTAGTTTCATCATTTATGAATACCATCTCTCTTTGCTGTTCCTACCTACATCTGTTGTTAGCTGCACTCACACAGAGCTGTTCAGAACTGGAGGTTATTCAGAAGTCATACGTAGCTTGTGTGCCTGAAGTTACCACATTTGCTTCAAAGTGCAAGAAAAAGACCCCAATATGTTTTTGCTCCTTCCTCTCCAGCCAATTCCCTTTCTTGTTTGCCTGTCAGTATCCAATTCTGTGCACCTAATCATCATTTTTTATTTAGACCAAGCTAGGCTGACTCTGCTTCATTGTAGCTCGTGCATTAACAAAGAGGTCCCTGTCATTTCAAGAATGCATGACTGATTCAGTCAAATCCAGTGGCCCATGGAAAACTCTATAGCACACTAACACTGTAAATCTTCCTCTAACAGTGTTGATCTCCTCTGCCTTTGGGGCCAGGGGGGAAATACAAATGTACTTGCAAATTTAAAATCCCTCCATCTCATTCTAACATGTCTGTTCCCCAGCCAGAAAATCCACCAAGTTTTCAAACTCAGTTTTTCATAAGTAGAACTCAGCAAAGTAACATCCACTGAATGAATTAGATTCAGTAGTTATACAGTCACTGAACATTTAAAAGGATGTCTCATATTCCTGCTAACAGCAGGCCACAAAAATTCTCATATTCTTCACGAACTTGCTATAATGACACAAAAATGAGTATTTCAAAAAACACAAACACCATTTCTCATCACCTTCTTCCCCACTCCCAAAAAATGGTTGGCTATGCTAACCTGCAAAAATAAAAAGTCTGATTTCAGAAGCATCTGTAAATGCCCTGGAATGCTCCAATACCCTGGAACAAATCTGTACCACATTAAAAATTACATTTGGGATCAAACATATCAACATGCATACCCATTTCCAGCAGCCACGCCAGCACACCACCTGACAATTTAACCTTCAGAGTTCCTCCCCACAACTCTTTCTGTTCCCCATAGGATATCAATGGTTTTGAAATATCTTGCTATACATACAGACATGCAGTGGCTCATAAGACTACCGATTAAACCCTGCGGACACCAAGACACTCAAGATTCAGTTCTTACCAGGCCTTCCCCAGGTTTAATGTTGGTTAAATGAACCTCCTCCAGACATGCACATTGGCTCATCAATGGATCTGTAGTTGATCGGATGGCTTTATCACAAATGCCATTTAAAGTTTTGGCCTACAATGAGAACATACAGAAAACCGTTACAAAATTTCTCTCCTGGCTTCTTCCTCTTTCAGTTTCCAAAAACGGAAGTTAGTTTCTAAAACTCAGTCAACTACTCTACATCTTTCTCTTCTTTCTGTAACCTACTACAAACAATCTGTTTCCATTAGTGCCAACTCAAAATCACTACTAGATGCCAACACATTCTCTGTTAAAAAAAAAAAATAAATTCAAACCATAGTAAAAATAAATGTTGGTTTTAAGGTTTGCCTGAACAAAAATACAACCAATTAAAATAATGGGACATTTTGATGATTCCTTGTGGGAACAACTGACAGTTTTTCATATTGCTACTTCTGCTATGAGAATAAAATTGATCACGTGTCACGAAAAAGTGAGGTGTTGGCCACTGACTTATCTGCAAAAAGTTTTACAGTATGTGGTCGGACATATAGCACTTCAGCATCACTTCTCTCCACTGTTCCTCTGACCTTTTCTGGAATGCTTACACAGGCAAGGTTCATATTTCTTTTTGACCAAAACATAACTGATCCTAAGCCAACATTACAACTAAACACAAATTCTGACTTTGTATGTGTATGTCAGAAAAGTCAGAATGGCTTTGTCTTGTCTTGTATAAATTTTAACCAGCAGAAAGGATAAGTAATCAGAAGAAAGAGAAAAAAAGTGTAGTAAAAAAGAAATATCTGTGCTGTCCCTACAATCACAAATTAGAATAATGCTCCACAGTGTGTTCTAGGTCTTGACATTAACTGAAGCAATGCTGAAATTGAAAGTAGGACACAAAAGCTTAAAGAACAAGGGAGGAAGGATTAGTACACAATAGCTAGTTATACACAATCTGGGAACCAAAGGTAAGCCACCTTTCACAAGGTTTGAATCCTTTACAGTAGACATATTATGGGGTGGGGGAAGCTGTCTGGTAGGAAGACATTGGTTTGGACTACAATGGCCCCTGGAAACAATAGTTCCAATGGTTTTTGTTTTGTTTTACATCAGTTTTAAACAGTAACAATAAAACAAACCAAAACAATGCTTAAGTGCAAATGCAAGGAACTGCTCAAACAAGGGAACTCCAAACAACAATACTTAGTTCCAGAGTGGGTGTGCACAAATGGAAAAAGAAAGATACAAAAAACCTCCCTTTTACGTGGTCTAATTAGTTACTGACAAGATTATTTTTAGTTATTGTGCTGTTAAATTCCTAAGCATCTACGAGCTAGCGGAAGGCCTTATCAAAGAGCACAGCCTGGTTCATGTCAAAAGCAGGAAGCGATGATTAACTGTTACAAAATATAAAAAGCATTCCATTACACTCCTCATTTGGTCACAGGGCTGTTTCAAACAACTCGGAAAACTCAGATCTTTCAAGCTCAAGTACAATCACAGACAGAACTTCAGTTCTGAGGTATGGCAGTTCTTTTACATACAGAAGCTTAATAAGGCATAGTATCTGCTTATTAAGACACTAAAATACACGGCAGACATAATTGTTTTATTTAGCCTACAATTATCCTATAGTACTACCCTTCACACTTTCAAATTTGAGGTCTGAATTCTCATGAAAAAAAGAGCAGTGCAATGAAACTTTAAGGAACACCTGACTGTGCTATGGCATACACTGTTCACAAATTCCACTAATTTTCTCTAAAGTCAAGTGTTCATAAAATGGTCCGTAACAACTTTCACTTGTGGGATGTGCTTGTTTGTGTAGGACTGGAAAGCTGTTGTTAGCACAGTTAACACAGAAATCACCAAAATAAATGCAGGCAGCTGAGTCTCAACAGAAACATGTACTTACTACAGTCTGAACTTTATCTTCCATGTCAGCCACAGTAGAGTCCTAAAAACAAAACAAGAACAAAACCCCAACATGAACCAATAAAGTTCTACACACATCATCTCTAGAAACTCTGCAAAACTGCCAGTTTAACATTGAACTGAATTAGTTATTCGTGCTACACAGATTAATCAGATTAGTTTCAACCAGTAGGGCTCAAATGTACTGTTAAACAATTATTTTCTGGCTCCAGTAGAAAGCAATAATAAACCTTGAAAACTAAGAGAACATGGGATTCAATTACATAAGCAGACATTTCCAGAAAAACAGAACTCTGCACAATAAAACCAGACTCTCAGAAGGGCAAGTCCACAAGCTTTCCTTACACTGACAAACCCCTCTCTTCTGCACTCTTCTGTCCCAGGCATCAAAAAATGAATCTAAAACGTATTGCTAAAAATAGCAGGAAAAGTGATGTTAAAAATGTGCTATCAATGACAGTCCTGAGGGCAAGAGGACTGCACACAAAGTATAATTTAAACAGTCCAGGTACAAAAATCTTTAAACTGAAACAAGCTCATTTAACAGGCTACAGAAATCATCATTGTTTTCTGCAAGAGCTGCTCAACTGAGAATGGTTTTAGATTCTCAAATTTTAAAAGTTCATCAAGTAATTAAAAATGATTAGCAGTATTCCTAAGAAGAAATAAACTCCAAGCATTTAAGTAAGCTTAAATTCCAAGATATTTGCCATAGACATCTCAACCTGCAAAACTATCACACAATGCCCAAGAGAGGCATCCAGAAGCTGTTCCGTATTTCTGATCATCCTCAACATTTTTTCTGCTCCTTCGTACCTACCTGTGCTTTTAAAGACAGAAGTAAAAAAAAAGTCATTCTCCAGATATGGATACACCACCAGTGATATACAAAATAGCTCAGCTATGTTCTCTTCTATGTTTTCATAATAACACTTTAGCACCTTGTTCATTGTTGTGATGACCAAGGATTGAGGTCACACTTCTAGAGGTTGTCACCAAAAACTTCAAGACCTTTCCTGAACACTACTACCAAATTTAGACTCAATCACTGTAAATCAGCATAATTTTTCTCTGCTAAATCAACAGTTAATGTTATCTATCGTCATGAAGCCCAGTTGCTCAGTATTGCAAAATCCTTCTCCTTTTTGTTTCCATTAATTGTTATTTTATCCTTAAAGTTTGCCGCAAAAGTTGAAGAAACAGTGGAGTAAACTCAGTTTTGTATCTATATCGCTGTCGTAAGAGTGAACTGGACTCTTACTGCATTCTAGTCGTGCCTTATTATTCACCCATTTTTACACATAATTTGTGATCATACAGAGCAGCACAGATGGCACGAAAGCCACACTGGTTTATTCTCCACTAGGAGAATTGACCATTTATTCCAACGCTCTAGTTCTTAATAAGAATGACTTCTCATATCTAAAAACTCAGCTTAAGTTTTTTAACTGTATCTGTCCCTTCCAGTGGATTCCTTCAGATCACTCTAATGTATCTGTAGTGCCCCAGCACAAAATAGTGTTGATTCTTCTCCCATTAACAACTTCTCTCATATACACCAATCCCATTCTTTACTACAGCCAAACCAAATTGGCAGAGAAGTAATCTAACATTTTTTAAAGGGTTGAGTTGCATTAATCAATTTCCATCCTGCCATCAAAGGCTGATTTAACTGAAAGATTAGATAACATTTTTAGTACTTTTATTAATGCAGTTCAGCAATCTCATAACTCAGTTCCTATAGCACTCTTGGGTGAACACCATCTGCTGCTAGAAATGGTTACTGTTCTACTTCACAATCTCCACATCTGTAGCTGTAAATCACTGGCATTTAGCAATTTCAGTACACACAGCATGCAAACAAGAAGGGCATTCAGAAGCAAGCCAAACTTATGTGCCTTTGAACTTAAAATATCAAGACACTGCCCTATCACAACAATACAGCTGATATAATTGGGCGTCATCACAGCCTGACAACTCACAGGATGTTTCTATTCTTTGACATCATTCCCCCGAAGTGGGGAGAGAATCACCAATGTCACAGGACATGGCTCTTCAGAGTTCAAACAATATACAGTCACAAATCAATGGCTACAAGAAAG